ACACTGTCCCTGTCATGAGTAAACTCTGAGCCAAAATAAAAACTTACTTCCTTATCATACTTTGTCAGATGCTTTATGAAAGCAAAAAAAAACAAAGTAACAGAACATTGAATATAAATACAGTATTAAATATTTCAAGTTTTAAAATTGATTTATTTTATTTTGTGTTTGTTTGTGGGTTGCACATGCCACAGTGCACATATGGAGAACAGAGAACACCTTGGAAGACTCAGTTCTTTCCTTCCCCATGGATTCCCAGGACAAAAATCAACTTGTCAGGTTTAGAAGCCTTTATTTGTTGAGCCATCTACCTGGACTCGGGGGTTTTTGTTTTGTTTTGTTTTGATTATTGTTGTTGTTGAATGAAATTTGAGGCTAGATATTAAAATATACTCAGTTAATTTAATGTGTATCATAATATTGAATCCAAAAGGCTCTCAAGTAGTCATTGATTGGCTCTTTCATTATATTGCTGTAAAATTAAAAAAAAAAAAGGTTTGGTTGGAAACAGTACCTGCATTATCTACTAATTTGCCTTTTGCAAATATGTAACCTGTAGCACTAATTCTAATTGGTCTTAATACTAAAAACCCAGAGCCAAATATTGGGGTAAATGCTGAAAGCTTAGAAAAACAAAGGAGCAAGTCACAGCCACCTCCTACCTCTCCAACTCCTCAGCCTGAAAAGGGGATGAGCTCCTGTCTCCATCTACCTTATATTCCTTTCTCAGCCCAGCCAAACCACTTCTTGTCTCCACATATGTGGTGCTGGGATTAAAGGCATGTGCCTCCTGTCTCCATCTACCTTATATTCCTTTCTCAGCCCAGCCAAACCACTTCTTGTCTCCACATATGTGGTGCTGGGATTAAAGGCATGTGCCTCTCAAGTACTGGGATCAAAGACATGAGATCCCAAGTTGTGGGATTAAAGGTGTGTGCCACCATTGCCTGTCTTCTATGGTTAACTAGTAGCTAGTTCTGCACTCTGATCTCCAAGCAAGTTTTATTTGTTAGAGCATAAACAAAATATCACCACAGTAAACAATTTAAAATCTTCTAACTTTTATCAAATAAAGTACTGAGAGATAAAAGATGTATAGGATCCACAGCCTACCACCTAATATTAAGTGGTTTCTGGTTAGTGTCAAATACCTCAGTATGTCCACAGGGAAGAAATCTTGCAGCATGTCTGGACAGCAGGGAAATTTCCAGACGGACATTACAGATTCTTTAGAGAAAGGGTATTGGATATCTATGTCAGACAGCATAGCATTCCAAAGATTTAGTTCTAGAATACAAGATACCTAGAAAGTCAATTTTTTTTCAAATGATGTAACTAAATTGTGCATGAGGTAGTTGCAAACAAACTTTTAACTGCTTCTTCCTATATCGACAAAGACAAGTTCCACACTGTGTGAGCATTCAGCAAAGTCTTTGCCAATTAACTTGGTGAAGTTTGCATTGAAATTTTTCCAGAAATGCTTTCCCTGTGCTACCTACTTCCCTAATCAGCACTCCATCATAATAAGCCTATAACACTTAGAAGTATCATTCTAACTCGAATCTGCTTCTAAATTGCTAGTTCTC